TTATACACATCTAGATGTGTATAAGAGACAGGTGTGTGTGTGTGTGTGCGTGTGTGTGTGAGAGAAAGAGAGAATAATAAAAAAAAAAAATGGTTATCTTTATTTGTTTTTTTTTTCCCCCACCTGAAAACGACCCCCCGCAAATTTCACTTTTTTTTTTCTAGTTCATTATGGCAGGGGATGATATGCGCCGGCAATGTGCGCGCCCCGATTTTGGGCGTGCAGCTCCGCCTGTGCTTGGCGCGTCCGCGAAAAAAGTCGGCCCCGCGGCCTCCACCGCGGGATCCAGGGTCGTGGGGGTCACGTAGCGGACGGCAACGAAGAAGACGAGAGCTCCACGAAAGGGTCTTCACCAACGATGGGTAGCACTGGCGGTTTCGGCAAGAGGAAGAACGTGAGGCAGCAGACTTTCGAAGCTCTCATGGAGTGCATGGAGAAGCATTGTACGCTAATGGCGACGACCATGGAGAGTGCTAGCAAGAGGCAGTGCTCCGGTCAAATTCAACAATGTGAAGCCATGGAAGCAGAGGTCGAGGTGCAGAGAAAGCACCACGTGGCGTCGGACGATGTCAGCAAGATCATGTGCCAAGCACTCTTCGAGATAGTGAAGGCTATACAGGAGAGGTAGAAACGAGATTCGTGTCGTTCACAACATCGCCCACGGAACTTGCTGACTGACCTTCGCCACTTGCAGCATCATCTGTCCACGTGGACGCCCTATCAATAGCAGTCCTCCTGCCGGCCTCCTGATGAACATGTCTTCCTGGCCGCCTCTCTGGTCGTATTGGACGGGGGGGAAGGAGGGGGGGGGAGAAAGGGCGGGGTGATAGTTTGAAGTTCGGGTGTTTCACTCCGTTTTTGTTTTTGTTTATTGGTTTTTTTTTTTTTTTTTTTAAACTCGAAATGAAGATGACCGCTATGCCGGGGGTGCGGACGACAGTAGTCAATAGTGTTGATTTAAAAAAAAAAAAAAATTCTCGATTGTTTTCGCAAGCACCAGTAGTCATCACGTGCTTAGCAATTAGCGTGGTTTTCAGCTTGCGTCTGCCAAGTCCAAGCCTTGTCGTAGATCAATTGTCGGCGTTTGGTAATTTAACGCAACCACATTCTGCGTTATTTTTCAAGTTGTCGTTCCTCTCTCTCTCTCTCTCTCTCTCTCTCTCTCTCTCTCTCTCTCTCTCTCTCTCTCTCTCTCTCTCTCTCTCTCTCTCTCTCNCTCTCTCTCTCTCTCTCTCTCTCTCTCTCTCTCTCTCTCTCTCTCTCTCGCCCCCTCTCTCTCTCTCTCTCGCCCCCCCCACCAACCCCTGTCAGTCTTGCATCGTGTCGCTGTCTTTGCGCGTTCTGAATTTATTTTTGACAACAACCAATTCAATTATTAAGGAAATTTGGCTAATCATGTCGCTAATGGCATTTTTAGGCACAACCAGGAATGATGAGCTCGTGTATGGCATTGAAGGTAGAGCATGCGTACGGGGGTCGAGCGGTTGAGTTGCCAGTTCATCTCCACAAACTTATGTATGGCAGACAGGAAATGCATGCCGTCATAAATGCCTGTTGACGCATAAAGACGGTGTCTTCAATGTTGTCCTCATGTGGAGTATGAATGTCTGCAATTCTCGCAAGAGGAGGAAGTGAACATTCATTCTCCACTGGAGCTGAAACGTTTTGCAGCATAGGATGTCTTCTATTTTTGCACATTTGTTGGATCTTTAATTCGCTCTTTTACTCCATAAATCGCCATTTCAAAAACGAATTTTTTACACACACACACACACATGAACAATAGTTGTTTGATCCCCAGCATTCTATGATCTTGGCCCTAAATGGGTGGCCATTATGGATAATTATTTCTGAAAAAAGTAATTAAAAATAAAAATAAAAATAAAAATAAAAATAAAAATAACAATAAAGGGATATAAGATTAGATGAATTATTAAAATATATTAAAAATTATATAATGAAAATAAAGGAATAGCTGAGTCTTTGCCCCGTTTCCCTGGACTTCTGGTCCATGACGGCTGTTTGCGAGCGCGTGAGCATAGACCAGGTCGGGGGCCTGCTGACGTGGCACTGCTGTCGGCTGACGTGTTCTACTGATGTGGTCTGCTGACGTGGTCTGTGGCGTGGCAACTTACCAATGCTGCCGCAGGGGGTACCCGGAGACCGATAGAGAAGATAAGACCAAAGGGGGCAACAACATAGGTGGGGAGGGGTGGGTGGGATACATCGCCCAAGAAAAGTTTGAACTTTGCAAAAATTTTGAGAAAAAGAAAAAAAATTCTCGTTTGCAAGTTCAGTAGGCCTCCCAATTCCCCCTGAAGTGCGAAATTACGAAGGAGGAAAAATTTGAACTTTCAGACTGCAAATGATGATCCGATAAGAGAATTCCGAAAAGAAACTACAAACAAATATTTGGAATTTACTCAGATGAGAGTACGCACAGTTTGGAAAATGATAACTGCAAGAGGTATTTCCCGTGCCGTTTTTGAAAAAACGAATTTCGAAAAAAAAATAATTCGGATCTCTAAATAACGGAAAATTGCAAAAAGAAATAAAAAATTTCGAGAAAAAGATATTCTGGATTTGCAACAACGAAATTTCGGGCTTTCAGAAGAAAAACGAAAACGGAAATTTCAGTTGTTGCGCTATTGCAATTTTCCACAACAGAAATAGCGGGAAAACAAAATCCAAGAAAAGAAAAAGAATTTCAATTTTTGGCAGTGAGGTCAAAATCGTGATTTTTGCAATCAGACTCGACTTATTCACACTTGTCTTGCGTGCAAACAGCGATACAACAAACTGGCGACATGCGCCCACACAGTACTCAAAGATATCGTAACCGGATAAGAGTTCTCTTCAACTGGCTATGGCGGCTCTGCGCCCACACAACACGCTGTTCGCACTCTGGATCACCCTGGATGTCCCACACGTGACACTCACTGTTCATACACAACACACACACCTTTCACTACAGCTATGGCAGCGCTAGCTGCCACTACCCTATCGCTATACTACACTTCACTGCCCACTTCGTCTTCGGGCGCACTGCAGACCTCCTCGCACAAGCTGTTGAGGCAGCGCTTCCGCATGGCATCCGCAGGAATGAATGAATGGTTGGACGCAGCCTCTTGATTTATACTTCGGCGCTGCATTGGTCTGCCCTGTATCCCTTGGCCCACGATGTGCACAGTCCCAGACGGTACTTGCTTGACTGGACCGGACTGGGCTACCTGGGACTGCTGACTGGGCTAGGTGGACTACCACCACTTGACCACTTGCCTCTGCTGAACGCAGCCCAACTCCGAAAGGCCAGTTCTAGAAACCTCTACGCTGGCCCTTCGGTACTGTAGCAGCTACGACTTTGCCCTTTCAGGTAAGTAGCGGCTACGACCTTGACCCTTCAGGCAGTCTACAGCTACGACCTTAGAACTGTCTAGACTCCTACCCTACAGGTCTACAGTTCGAATCTCTTCTACGTGGTGACCTACGAAAACTTACCTACCATTGGCGATCCTACAGGTCACAGGTTCAAATCTACGAGTTGACATCAATAATGTACACAGGAAAGATGGGGAACTAGGGATCGAGCCCTGGGATCTGCATTCGCTACTGCGAACTGGTGAATACCGTTTCACTCCCACCAGCCTAAATTCGAGGTCCTCCGAGAAAATTTCAGTCCAAAGCAGGATCTTTACCCTTTTGCAGTCTCTCGTAGGCCCGGACTATATCGGGAGCTGTCTCTAGAAGTTCAGATCTTGTAAACCAGCGGTCGTCTTCCGGTTCCTGATAACTAAAATGAACCTTGTACTGTTTCTGTGGACGACCCCTACCTCCAGTTCTGAAGACATCTTCAGCCACTATACCGTCTATATCATATCTTCCATCCATATCCGGTGGGATCATCGATCTACGGGATGGAAACTGATCACTCGTTTGAGAAGGTAGTAACTTCGATGTGTGGAAAACTGGGTAAGTGTGGAGGTGTGCGGGTAACTCTATGGTGTAGGACGGTCCATCTTCGCCGCCCTTGACTTCCAGAACATGCCACGGTCCTCTATATGTGGGCAGTAACTTCTGCGAGATGTTCTCCTCAGGCGCAAACTCCTTAGAACTAACCCAGACTAAGTCGCCTACCTGAAACTATGAAGGGCGACAATGTTTGTTTGCTTGCTCTATCATCCTATGTTGGGCTTTTCTGAGGTTTTCTACGACAGTAGCTAGTTCTTTCTCGTGCTGTACAGCAAACTCCCTGGTCCCGGGCGGCAATCTGTGAATCTGATCTCGGTTGAGTCCCTCAAACTGCCTGCGCGGTCTAAAGGACTTGTGCAGTTCGTTGGGAGTGCGGCATGTAGACAGATGCACGCTGTTATTATATGCACTAGCTACTTTGGGCAACATCTCATCCCAGTTAATCTGATCTGGCCTAATATACATGCGCAGAACTTGCTGTAGGATCTTGTTCATTTGCTCTGTCTGACCGTTAGTCTCTGGATGACGGTCGGACCATTAACAACTTAGATCCATATACTCCCATGAGTTTTTGCCAGTTCTGGCTGGTAAAGCGACTATCTCTATCGCTAACTATTGACAACGGGATTCCATTCTCACTAACCCAACAGTCAAAAAACCTCCGTATGACTAAATCGGTACGCGCCTCTGAAGGCAAAGGAACAAAAACTGCATATTTACTGAATCGGTCAACTATGACCATGACTTGGCTCTTGCCATGCCTGCTCTTGACTTGAGTGTCCATGAAGTCGATGGACATTGAGTCCCCCGGCTGATCCGGAATGGGCAAGGGTCTGAGAAGACCTAGCGGGGCGCGCGTAGAACTCTTGTTACGCTGGCAAACCTTACAACTGCGAACATACTCTATGCAGTCATTCTTCATCCCTGGCCAGGTATACGCGCGTATCAGATTGGCTAAAGTCTTTTGCCAACCAAAATGACCCTCTGTGTCATGGCATTCGCCCAAAATCAGACTACGAATCTCCTCGCTATTGGGGATGCATAGGCGGTCAAACACGTTAGTCTTCTCAAAAAGCAACCCTTCTGTAGTGCGGTAGTTCGGTTCGGTCTCTGGGGCCTCCCTGACTCTCTTAAGGAGCTCACTATAGATAGGGTCCCGCGCGTAAGCTTCTCTCACCTTCTGCTGCAGATCCTTCCCTATATCGAGATAATGTACTATTGCCCCAAAGTAATCAGCTCTTCTACTCAGAGCATCCGCGACTACGTTGTACTTCCCTTTGACAGGCTTGAGCTCGAAGTCGTACTGATTTATCTCCGTGGCCCACCTAGTAAGCCTAGGTGTCATCTTGGCCTGCGTCTTTAACCATCGTAACGTTTCATGGTCATAATAGGCTTTGAGGTGCCTCCCAAGCAAGTAGTGCTTCCAGTGGTCTAAGGCTTGCCTGAGAGCGTAGAGTTCCCTCTCATAGGTAGATGTCGCAACCTTTTCTGAAGGCATCCTGGCGGACATGAACTCTACGGGTCTATAGCCATTGCCATCGTCTTGCTGTAACACTGCGCCTATGCCGTACCGGCTAGCATCCGTAGTAACGACAAAAGGCAAGGACGGATCGGCGACCTTAAGGACGGGATACTCTATCAACGCTTGCTTTAATTTCTTCATAGCAGACGTGCAGTCCTTGTCCCACTTCCAGATTGTCTCTTTCCTAAGCAACCTGCGAAGGGGCGCAGCGATRGTGGAGAAGTTCCTCACGAACTTCCTATAGTAATTAGCTAAGCCCAGGAACGAGCGCAACTCTGTCAGCGTACGTGGCGTGGGCCAATTTGTAATCGCCGCGATCTTGCTATCTTYTGGCTTAACGCCGTCTCCGTCTAAGACGTGGCCTAAGTACAGAACTTGGGTTTTCGCCCAATCGCACTTCTTTGCATTGATCTTGAAGTTAGCTTCCCTCAGCTTCTCCAAGACCTGCCTGAGATGACCCTGATGCTCTTCGAGGGTCCGGCTAAACACTAGGATGTCGTCTAGATGAACTACAACAAATTTATCTAACCACGGCCTAAACAAATCGTTCATACACTGCTGGAACGTAGCTGGCGCGTTGGTTAGTCCAAAGGGCATCACTATAAACTCGTAATGCCCGTACCTAGTCCGGAAGGCTGTCTTATACTGATCATCAGGATGTACCTCTATTTGATGATACCCGGACTTTAAATCTATCTTAGAGAAATACTTGGCACCCTGCACTCGATCTAAGAGATCGTCTATCCTCGACAGTGGCTCAACATTCTTCACAGTAATAGCATTCAGACCCCGATAGTCTATGCACATCCTCAGCTCTCCCTCTTTCTTAGGAACAAAGAGGACAGGCGCTCCGAAAGGAGACGAACTGGGCCTAATCCAACCCTTCTCGAGGAGCTCGTCTAATTGCTTGCGAAGCTCCTCTAACTCCCGCGGGGACATCCTATACACAGCACCCTTAGGAGTTCTACTGCCAGGCTCTATCTCAATATGGTGCTGGATGGGCCGCGGCACTGTGCCTGTCGGCGGCTTGGTCAAATCTTTAAACTCTTCCAGCAGCTTGGCAATCGCAGGGTCCATCGACTTTTCTTCCGTAGGCTCAGTGACTGGCCTAACATAGGCAACAAAGACCTGTTCCTCCAATCCCTCCTTCTTCACCAATCTGGCGAACGCGGGGGCACTAAGGCAGCAATGCGCCAAGGAATTCTCTACCCCTGACACATGGAACAGGCGGACAGTCTTAGCCTCGCCTGCAGAACTAGGGAGCCTACACTCGTGCTCCTTCAGATGGAGCGTTGCCCCGGCTGCCTCTCCCCAATCCATTCCCAACACAATATCAAACGAGAGGCTGTCTTCTACGAGGAGAGTCAGGGAGTGGAGAACTTTCTCCACTTTCCCGTCTTTCTCTAGGCGGAAATACGCCTGGACTCCCTCTACGTAATCCTCTACAACCATGGTACGATTGTCCGCGAGGATACTAACTATGGGGCCTGCCAATTTCTGGACTTTAAGTCCCAGCTTCAACTTCTGCAGCGCTTTCTTACTAATATAGCTGCGGGTGGCCCCTAAGTCTACTAGGGCCCCTACTCTACTTCTAAAAATCTCTGCATCTAATAAGATCAACTGCCCTTTATTCTCCTTCTTCATCTTGGCCCAGGCGGGCCTCCTCTCCTTCAATTCTTCGGCCACGCCTGTGAGAGAGGGGTCCAGCGAAACTCTAACACAAGCAGTTTCGGGACAGCTATCTAGACACCGGCCTGCAACCTCTGCTATAGGCACATGTGGTGTGGGAGTCTCCTGCCGGCTAGCGCTATGTTCCCCACATGGCCTAGTGGTAGGGGCAGTTGCTACCCCTACCGGCGGCTGCCTTTTGGCCCTTGGGCAGCCGTTCGGGTCTCTCTGTACTTAGGACAATATTTGATGATGTGGCCCGGGTCACTGCAGAAAATGCACTGGCCCCGGTCCAATCGTTGTTGCCATAAAGCCTGGTCCAGACCCAAAGATTCCCAAGGCCTACCCTGAGGTAGCSCTGGGTGCCATCCTCCTACTCTATAGGGAGACCTATTCCTAGGACGGTTTTGCGAGGGACCTTGACCCATGCCTCCCGCTTGGCGGTTTCCTCCTCTGCCGCCAACCCCTTGATCTCCCTGGAACCGGCTCCCTGAGGCCCGGCCCCCTTGGCCTTGGCCTCGTCCTCCTTGCGGCCTCCCTCCAGCCGCGACAGCAGCATAAAATCTCCCTTGGCCCACACTGCTGTTCTCCTCCTCTAATCCCCACTCAATCTGATCGTAGGGAATCTCATCCACACTACCTTCGTCTAGAGTTAGGACAAGACTATCCTTGGTCTTTACCTGCCCTGAGATAGTGCGGCCTTTCCATTGCTTCCCTCTGTCTAAGTCCTTGTGCCAGAAGGTAGTTAGGGACACGGACTTAGCTTCAAAAGCCACCACTTCGCGGTTGAGGGAATCGTAAGTGGTGGCAGGGTCTTCGCTCTTCGCAAAGAACTGCCCTCGAAAAGCTTCGGGCATAGCCCGGTAAAAGAGGTTGACCAACTGGCCCTTTGTGACTCTGTGGTCAGGGACAGCCACCAACTCATCCATTGTACCCTTGAGTGCCCTGGCACTCTTCCATTTACGAGAATGGATGGTTTGGAGCGTGTCTGAGGCCTTAACACTGCGAGCGACGTCTGCGAATCGCTCGCGCAGCAATTTGAGGAATTCCCCACTGTAGGAATCAGGGAATTTGACCTTGACCGGTTCCCGGCGAGGAGGACGTGCTTCCTCCTCTTTGGGGGCTGCCGCCTTGACGCCCTCAATGGCGCCAGCACAGAACCGTTCGGTCTTGTCGAGGCGGTGCCCCACCTCGGCTCCAACAGCGCCTACCAACTCACGAGCGAAGTCCCGAAAGCCCAACTTTATCGAACGCACCGCTATGTGTTGACTCCTACTAAACTCATATTGGTCCGCCTGAATCTGTGCCAGGCGTGCGACGCTTCGGGCTATGATTCGCATATGGGCTGGGACTTCAGTCTAGGCGGCTACTTGCGCTTCTTACTTTTTCACCTCCTCTAATTCTTCCGCCGCCTCCGCTGCCCTATCAACTCTCCTCTTCTTCTCCCTCATCACCGCCAATTTCCACTCCATTCTCTTCTCGTCTTCCAACGCCTGTCGTCTAAGGGGATCCTTCTCTGCAGCCCAAGCCCTCATGCCAGCCTCTTGCTGATCCTGCGGGATGTACATACTAACTTCTTCCTCTTCTCCCACAGACAGATTAGCAACCCGTTCGGATATCCTCTTCTCCAGGTCCCCACCATTGCTGCCACTGTGCTGCCCACTAATCTTTTGCAGTGGCGGYCCTTCCTCTTCTTCATCCACCTCCTTCAACTTCTCTTCTTCTTCCTTTTTCAACCTCTCTTTCTCCCTGGCCATCTCTTCTTCCATCTTCTTCAATTTGGCCGCCTGTTCCTCTTTCAAGACCTTTTTCTTGGCCTCCTTCTTCTCCTTTCTCTCTTGCAGGATGGCGGCCATCTTCTCCTCCTCCTCCTTCGTGTATGGCTGGGTGGAAGTGCCACCGCGAGTGGGCCCTACTCTACACGTGGTGGGCCAGAAGCCCAGAGGAAAGAGGAGACTCTAGAGGGTCCCCCAGAGAGAGAACCCAACCAGCAACGCATACATCGGATAGTCGTCCATTGTGGCGTCAGGTGCACGACAGTGTCCCACTCCTTACCACTTTGACCTACCCGGACACACTGACCTACTGATTCACTCCCTAAGATCCACTACTCACAACTACTTCTAAGGCTGTCACTACTGAATTCCTAGCTGATTAGGAGGCATTTAAGGAGATCCCCCAAACTCCGCAAGAATTCTTTAATGTCGCAGATAGGACGACGTGATCAGCTTGGTTCCTCTGGCGATTTCAGCCCACAACTCAGCCCGTCCAGCCTCCTGTGCCAC